GAGGCAGAGATGGGGACAGGGATGAAGTAGCGATGGAGACAGAGATGAGGTGGCAATAGGTTCAGGGAATGAGTGGTGATGGGGACGAGGACAGGGTGGTGATGGGGACAAGGACAGGGTGGTGATGGGGACAAGGACAGGGTGGTGATGGGGACAAGGACAAGGTGGTGATGTGGACAGCAATGGGAGGGTGGTGGGGTGACAATGGGGTCTCAATGGGTACAGCAATGGGGTGGTGATGGGGACAGGGAATGGTTGGTGGTGGGGACAGGGTTGGGGACAGGGTGACATGACAGTCGCTCACCCTCAATTTCCTTTCTCCTTCCCAGGGTCCAGCCGGTCCCCGAGGTCTCCCTGGCCCCCCTGGTGCTCCTGTGAGTATCCCCCCCCTCCTCCTCCCCATTTTGGGGACAAGCAGCCCCAAGGGTGGTGGGGATCTGGGTGGGACAGGGTGATGGGACATCCCACCCTTCCCAATGGATACGGGCACACGTGGGGACACGTGTCCTCACGCCACTGTACGGGGAGGGGCCGTCACTGCCACCGGGGTCTTCATGCCCAATCTCCTCGTTTTCTAACCCATTTTTTCCCCCTTTTTTTCCCCACTGCCACGCAGGGTCCTCAAGGTTTCCAAGGTCCTCCTGGTGAACCTGGCGAGCCCGGTGCTTCTGTGAGTCCTGACATCTTCTCCTCCAGCCTGATGTCCCCATGGAGATGGGGACAAGGACCCAGTCCTGGCCATGGCCACATTGTCCCCACTCTGGGGCTGTGGGAATGGGGCTGACAGGGTCTGACACTGCCTGGCCCGGGTAACAGGGTGACAGCACCCTCACCCCTGCCCTGCATCTCTCCTAGGGTCCCATGGGTCCCCGTGGTCCAGCTGGTCCCCCTGGCAAGAATGGAGATGATGTAAGTGACCTGTGGTGGGGATCTCCCACACACAATTTGGGGCTTGGTGGCCCTACCATCCCCTCCAGGTGACCAGGAGCCACCTGGCTTGGGGACATGCCACCAACACTGTGTCCTTCTCCATAGGGTGAAGCTGGAAAGCCTGGTCGTCCCGGAGAGCGTGGTCCCCCCGGCCCCCAGGTGAGATCCCCACCAAGGGGACAACCCCACCATGGCCTGAAAGGATGTGACATCAGATTCCTGTCCCCTTTGGGGACAGGGGAAATGGGGCATGGGGTCAACCCCCCTTGAGCATCTCCATCACCTCCTGCCCTTTCCTCCTAGGGTGCACGTGGTCTCCCAGGAACCGCCGGTTTGCCGGGCATGAAGGGTCACAGGGTGAGTCCCCCCCACCCTCCTTGAATGATTTAGGGGAAGAGGGACCCCAACTTCACTGGGGGGTCCATTCCTGACCCCCCCTTGCTTCTCTTTCCTGCTCTCCAGGGCTTCAGTGGTCTGGATGGTGCCAAGGGTGAGCCTGGTCCTGCTGGCCCCAAGGTGAGGAGCGGTGGCAATGTCACCCCTGTCCTCCTGGTGAAGCCATCGCTGTTCCCTCCAGAGCAGATCCCTCAATGTTGTCCTTTCTCCTCAGGGTGAACCCGGCAGCCCCGGGGAGAATGGAGCTCCTGGGCAGATGGTGAGTGCTGGAGACCTTGGGGACCATGGGACAGCAAGAGGGGACAGGGATGGGGGGCAAGATGTGGTGGGGTAACAACTCATCCTTGGGGATGCTTCCCTAGGGATGTCCCAGGGAATGGGGTGGGAGGGGGTTTAACCCCCTGGAGATGTCACTGTGGGCAGGAGCAGTGAGGGGACAGTTGGGGCACAGGGGTGGGAGAAGATCCCAAAGGGGAAAGTGTCTCTTCTGGTGACCCAAACTTGTCCTCTCCCCTCCCCAGGGTCCTCGTGGGCTTCCCGGTGAGAGAGGCCGTCCTGGTCCATCCGGCCCCGCTGTGAGTATCTGGTCTGGGCAGAGCTGAGTGTCCCCTGTCCCAGGGTGCAGGGTGGAGGGCTGGGGGACACCTCTTCTGTGGTGGACATCACTAACAGGTGCCTCCTCCCCACAGGGTGCTCGTGGCAATGATGGTGCTCCTGGTGCTGCTGGTCCTCCCGTAAGTAACCCCCAAACCCATCCACCCTCCACCAGCACCCAGCATCAGCTCCAGCTTCTCCAGAGGGAGATCCCATCCCAGCTCCACCGTCACCAGAAAATCCTGGCCAAGGGCTGGAGCTCTGCTGCCTGGAAAACCCTCCAGTGACACATGTGTGTGGTGGGATCCCTCCTCTGACACGTGTCCTCTCTCCCATCTAGGGTCCCACCGGCCCTGCTGGTCCCCCCGGCTTCCCCGGTGCTGCTGGTGCTAAGGTAAGACCTGCCTGACCATCTCCTTCCAGGTGGCATCTTCTAGATTGGGAGAAACTGGTGGAAACTGGGAGTGTGGGGTGGAGGAGAAGGACCAAGCATGGAATGAGTTCCTCAAAATGAGAAAACCCAAAGTGCTGTGGGCTCATTGCTGCCTGGGACAGTGGGCAGATGGGGATGTTCCCAGCCCAAGTCCCATGAGCATCTCTCCTGGCTTTGCCTCCAAAGGAGCTGTGGATGGAGGGGAAAATCAGCCTCATCAGGGGTTTCAGGGCAACCCTCGTGCTCATGGCTCTTCCTCTCTCCTCCTCCTCCCCAGGGTGAAACTGGTCCCCAGGGAGCTCGTGGCAGTGAAGGTCCCCAAGGTGCCCGTGGTGAGCCCGGTCCCCCCGGCCCTGCTGGCGCTGCTGGTCCTGCTGTAAGTGGCATCTGATGGCTCCTTGTCCTTTGGCCTCATGTCCTGCTGGCCCTCTGGCATAACCCTCCTCCTCCTCTTCCTCTTCTTCTTCTCCACAGGGCAACCCCGGTGCTGATGGTCAACCTGGTGCCAAGGGTGCAACCGTGAGTGTCCCTCACCCCCTGCCTGGCTCTGGGACGAGGGGTCGTGCTGTTCCCTCACCACCTCATCTGCCTCTTCTAGGGTGCTCCTGGCATTGCTGGTGCTCCCGGCTTCCCCGGTGCCCGTGGTCCCTCCGGACCCCAGGGTCCCAGCGGTGCCCCCGGTCCCAAGGGTAACAGCGTGAGTATCCCTGGACATCTCCATCCACCTCCTCCTGGGGTTGGATCCCTTCTTTGGGATCCCTTCTTCTCCTCCAGCAAGCTGCTGTCCCACTTGGAGATGTCTCCTCTGGCATCTCCCAATCTCCTGCATCCCTGAGAGTGCAGGATGGTGCTGGGGGGGGATTACAGATGCTGAGCATCCTCCCTCCTGCTGATGGGACAGGCAGGATGGGGCTCAGGGCTTCGTTTGCTCATCCATCTGGTGTTAAATGGCTTCTCCATCTCATCTCCTTCCACTTCCAGGGTGAACCCGGTGCTCCAGGCAACAAGGGAGACACTGGTGCCAAAGGCGAACCCGTAAGTGACCCCCCAATGTCTCTTCAGGGGCTCAGCCCCTCCTGGCTCCCACCCACCCCACGGGTGCTCATCCCTTCACCTCCTTCCTCAGGGTCCTGCTGGTGTCCAAGGTCCCCCTGGTCCAGCTGGTGAGGAAGGCAAGAGAGGAGCTCGTGGTGAACCCGGCCCTGCTGGGCTTCCCGGCCCCGCCGGCGAACGTGTGAGTAGGAGCAGTCCCT